ACACACACACACACACACACACACACACACACACACTCCTTACCCATCCCTGCTGGCTTGAGGTTTGCCATGGCACAAAAGAGGAGCTGCTGCAGGTTCTGGAAGGAGGGCCCAGCTATTGGCCACGCTTCCAGCCACGTGAGGTGTGCTGTAGGTACCACACAGCTGTGCAGCCGCACATGCACACAGCTTAAAGGGAATGTTAATTAAGAAGCATCCATTGAAGATGTAAATCATGATGCACATCCATTTCCTTGAGCAAAAAATCTAAGCTATTACAAAAATACACTGCACTTTTTCACACTTTTTTGTTTCATTACCTGCCGGGAGGTGTTCTCCCTGTGCTGAGCATTTGCTCTCACCCGGGGGTCATCATCCTGTACAATATCTCCGTTGGCCAAAATCCGGACCATCCTTGGGGTCACGCAATATACCCACCCTGTCACACCTGTAGTAACACACAGGAGAAAGGACCTGTAGTTCCCCTCTGAGCATTATTAGCTACTTCATTCTGATCCAGGAGGGAAGAGAGGCTCAGGAGGAATCAGTTAAACATCTTGGGCCATATTTTGAGTGCAGTCAAGGAGGGACATGCAAGAAGTTTCCCCCACTCTTTGCACGACTGCATAAGGGCCTCCCACAAGAGGCCTCTGGGGAGTGTAGGAACTGTTCACTCCTGCTGCCTACCAGGGAGCAAAGACAGAAAACAAGGGGTTGGGAGGAGTAGGGAGCAGGTAGGGGGTCGTGGTGCAACCCACATTCTTCATCAGCCTGCAGAGGAGGGCCTGTGCAACAGGGGTGGAATCTGCTCCATCCTAAGGAATGTGCCCACAGAGAAGCCCAGAGACATCATGGCACCTTCTCCCCAGCATACATCCTGGTGTGACGCAGCTCCACATTACACCATACCAAAGATAGTGATGTAAATGCCACAATCTAGCCTCTTTGGGAATGGGAAGATGTGTGTGTGTCTTTCTCTCTCATTTTATCTATCACTTACCCACACTATAAATGGTTTTGTTTTTTGTTTTTTTGGACACAGCAAAAATCCCACTGACAGAAAATGAAAAAGATACTTTTTCATGGCTATGAAATCCCCAGAGGATGATATTTTTGAAAAGCTGTCAAAAATTACTTTTGAAAGTGTCATATGAACATAGTTTTAGAAATTGCAATAAAGTCAGCTGTTTTACAAGTTAAAAAAGGTTCTAAAATAAGGTTTTCCCTCTTGTAATAGCAAATCTCTAAGAAGCAGAACCTTAGGAAAAACAGGCAGGAGGGCTCTGCACAGAAGAATATTTTGTGCTGTGATTTAACAAATATATATTTCTGCTGGTAAGAATTAAAAACTGGTATGACCAGTCAAATCTATAACACAGCCAGGAAAACTGACCATCACACCACAGGGATCTAATTTCTAAAACTTGGCACTTATGGTTTCCAGGCTATTAGAACTACCAATGCTCAAAGCATGGGGTGAAAACTGGAATTGACCTTAACCCCTGCCTATAATGCAAACTGATGTTTTTTTCTTTTTGTTTTTTTTAAGGGATGGCTAGAAACTTCCATCCAATCCCCGGGGATAAGCAAGATCCAACATGGCAGCTATGCCTTACCTATGCCCTATGCACAATGCATATGTCCCTTTCAAAGAGACAGCTAGCAGTGTGTTTCCCCTCTACGAGAGCTGGCTCAGAATGGCCTGTAACCCAGTTTGTCATATGAATCTGAAGGCCAGTTTCTCCCATTCCCAGGAGGGCTGACAGATGCACAGACACATGAACATGCTGATCATACCACATATGCTGGGCAAGTAGAGGCACAACACTAACAGATTCCTCTGGGTCAGGTACATGGCTTAAATTAGCCTGAGCAGGAACACTATACTATCCAAGCTGCCTGTGTTATTCTGCACGGTACTTAGAAACTCTTATTCTTTGCCACACATTTCTTGACATAATTTTGAAATTTTGCAAGAAGCCGATCTGAGGGTGGTGGGAGGAGAAGGGAAAGCAGAAGAGGCTGTACTGCTGCCTGAGCAGATTACCGATCCACTGTCAGAAATAGCATACTCACCTCGTTGAGTTTCTCTCTGTTTACTCCATTCAGTCTGACTGACTTGTACCCAAACTGCTACTTCCTCCAGGCTGACATCACCGGAAGTTAGTTGAGGGAGGTGAGTGAGCAGGCAGTTTCTCTTCTAGCCAAGGCTCTCCAGAGCTGAGCAAACCCCTCTTCAGGCTCCACAGTAAACTGCAGTTCTCTGGACTGGCTGTGAAGAGTTAGAGAGCGCTCGTTTGCAATCAGCCCCTCTCTCTCCACAGTATTTATGCTACACTCCTCTCCCTTGGCCTGCATGTTCATTCACACCATGACTCTGATCAACTCTAATAATCCTGATGCATCTGAAATCTAGGCATGGCGAGTGCCCCTGTCACAAAGAGAAGGGAATATGGGGCAATGCGCCCCAGGCACAGGCGTGGCGTGGAAACTAGGGGTGCGGGAGGTGCTGCAGCAGCACCGCCAGGTTTTACGCGGGGCTACTGGGCCAGCGCCCAGGCCTCCACGCCCCAGCCCGGAGCTTGAGTCCCGGCTGCCAGCCCTGCTCCCCGGCCGCTGGCCCCGTGCTTGCGGCTCCGCGCAAGGGCCCCGCTCCCGGGCCCGGGAATCCGCTCTCCGGCCCTGCGCGCGGGGCTCGGGTCCCGCCACTGGCCCCGCACCCTGGTCGCTAGCCCTGCGCCCGGGGCTCTGCTCTTGGGGTGCTGGCCCTTGGTCCCGTGCCCGGGGCCCTGCACCCAGCCACCCTCCCTCCCCGCTCCTGGCCCCGTGCCCGCCCCCAGCCTTTGCCCCCTTACCTCTGTCCGACCTCCCCGAGACACGACACTGCTCCCGGCCCCAGCTGGGGTGGGAGGCGCAGATCGGGGCAAGGGAGCTGGCTTTCAGCACTCCCACTTTTAAAAGTGTTCCAGTGCCACTGCCCAGGCTACAGCCTATCAGAAATCTGAAACACTGACCACTTGTCTCCAAACCTGTAGGACTGTCCTGACTTTCACAAAGCTGTCCCACAAGCCAGGTTTGCCGGGCAGTTAAAGTGGCTCAAACTGGGACAAATTCATGGGCTGGAGATGGTATGGGATTGAATTTGGGGCCAATTGGGGACCAGCTTGTAGGCTTAAGCTAGGGTAGGGGTTGTGACTGGTTTAAAGTTGAGGGGGGTGCTCTGGTGAGTGTGAGATCTGGCACAAGTATCTGGGACCAAGCTACGGTTAACATTGGGACTAGTTTAGAGCCAATTTGTAGGCAATGGCAGGCTAGGATATGGTTTGGGGATGATTGTTAGCCTAGGCTGGAGTAAAGTTTGGTAGCAGTTTGTGGGGGCAGGCTAGGTTTAGCATAGGGACTGGTTTGTGAATCCTGGCTAGCAGTTGGCAGCAGTTCAGTTCATGGGTTCAGACTACGGTTAGACTGCTCTAGACTTGTAAATTCCAGGACTGTAACACAGTTTAGTAACATGGTTAGTTCTGTCTACACAGGAATATAATGCTTTGTAACACCATGAAGGTATTACCAGGTTCTGACACAGTCAGGTCCCCTGACATAACAAATTTTGCTTTGTAGAAGCACTCCATTTCTCCTCAGTCCGAATTACCCTGTGTAGAGTTCACAGTAACCGTTCATTTTCTAGATCAGAAAGCTTTAAATGGGACATGTTTATTGACATAAGGATGGGTTATATTTTGTCAGTCTGGATCTAATTAAACCTTTGGCATCAGCTTAGTTTAAATCAACTGGCGGGACCGTGTGACATGGACAGAGAGACAGGGTGGTGACCCTGTTCATCTCCTCTGGTCTCCCTTTGCTTGCACCTCCACGGGGAAGCAAAGCATCCAAGATGGACACTCACAAAGATAGACCTTCTTCGTTGGGGGGTCCCCGTTGTGAGCTCGAGTGATGGAGCTAATCCTCTTAACAGATTGCTGCCTTCTTTTCTAATAGACAAAAAACAAAAGGGAAGTGGGGAAAGCTGGTTTGGAGTTTAGGACCACAACATTAATCCCCTTCCCCCACTCCTTCAGAAATAAAGAAATCCTTAAAGAGACACTGTCAAGCCCTTTAGCCCACACATTTCACTGAACTGAATGTTGCAGATGCCCTCTGACTCCTGGAAATCCCTTTGGGTTTGGCTTTAAAATCAATCTCTCCAGCTCCAGATATCTGAAGGATAAAGTGTGCAATGTCTGTTTGTGCTACAGGCCACACACATACCGCAGGTTCTGTCTATTTTAGCCAGATAAACCATGCTGGCAACTTTCTAGGAGTTTAACGTGATCATACTTAGTCCTGATCACAAGTGCTGAAAAATGTTCTGAGGGAGTTTTTACCAGTTTGTTCCATGTAAACCTGTTCAGTTTAGCCTTTTGTGAAATTGTGAGGACCCAAACACTTTTCACAATTTCAAGTACAAATATGGGGTCATGGACAGCTATTTGTCACAATTTTGGCTTGCAGAGAGATGACAAGGGAAGGCAGAGCAACACACAGATAACCACACATAGCATTTACAATATATTGTGTACACAAACAACAAAGCATTACTGAGTCCTATGACCTATGGTCTGCATATATACAGCAACAGGAGTGATAATGAGCTATAAAATTGGCATAATAAATTCAGGCACGGGATCAGCAGTAGCAGAGGTAGACAGGTTTTCCGTGATTTCCCAGTTAGAATCCTTCTCGCTGTTTAAAGTATTTAGGGAAAGCATTCCTGAATCTGACCTGTATATGCTTCACTAAACACACGCTTTGAATACATATTGGAGGGACAGGAGGCTTACACTTCTCTTAGTACTGGCAACAGTTTTCCACTACCCAGTTAACACTAAACTGAAATAATCATTTTCCTTTCCACTTTAAATTATTCTTACTCTGCTTCTATCATTACAAGAGAACTGAAATAAAAAATAAAATCTCAGACAGACTACATTTTAGCATGTAGTAGACTAGCCTCCACAGAACAAACCAAACAAACCAACCAGTAAAAAAGTACTCAGCAAACCAGCCTACCGATTGAAAAATGAGGAAATTTCAAGAGGTTCAGAATTTAGATGGTTAGCCAAACTATCCCACTAGACAGGTGTGTTGTATACCAATGCCATACTGGTTTGGGGCCCCACTTTTCCCTCAGTGTAGGGGAGAGAAAACTCCACAAGTTTCAACTAATAGAGATTTCTATTTATTCTTCCAGTTTCCCTCAACCCCATTAGTACTGAAATCCCCTAAAATCCAGCCATTTTGTTCAGTGTTGCTTTTTCATTGCAAATTCATCTTAGTAACTACAGTTTATCATATATTTGTCATATATATGTAAAGTTGTTTAGATATTTTTAATTGCTGAGTATTTTTGAAGGATAAAGATAATTAAATGTTAAAATTGTAGTGATCACTTGACAGTAAGAAAAAAAGCAACATATGGGCTCTTCAGTTAGCAGTTGGCCCCAATGGGATGTGAATTAAATAGCTTTGAAATTTGAAACAAACTTTCCCCAGTATTCAGTAAGTTAGTGTTGTTTGAAAAAGTATAGCCATTAACTTGGCCACCAGAGGGCAATCATATTGTATTTAGAATGCAATTCTAATCTATTGATATTGTTAATGATGAATAAAATGAATACAAAATTAATATGTCACAAATGTCAGACATTTTCCCCTAGTTCATACACAGATAAATCCATATGTACAATTTCATGAAAATCAGACACAATCTACTATATTTTGTCTATTCCAAAAGTTTAGCTGTGCGTGAGAGCACTTAATAAAAGATAGTTTGGCTCTTTGTTTCTCTGTAAATGGACCACATAACAAAAGGTAGTCTGATGGTGATGTTAGAGCAAGATATCTGAGCACAAATATGAAAACACTTCATGGCTTTGTATTATAAAGGCAATTTCCACTAATCCCTATCAAGTTCATTCCCCTACAGATTGTAATGGTAATGCTCTCCATCTAGTGTGGCTGGAAGTCACACTTCACTTAGAGCAGCCATGATATAAAATTCCCTAAAAGCCTAATAAAATTATGAATTATTAATCACAACATCTTGTATTCAGCCACCAACAGCCTTTAATTTTAAATGTATACTTCCCTCATTGTAAACTAATCAATGCATTGTGGCTGATATTTTCAAAACTGGCTACTGAGTTTGGATCCTTTTCTTTTGGTGGCTCAAGTTGCCTCTTGTTGGACTTGTAAAATCAGTAGCCATTTTTGAAACTGTAGATGCAGAACACCTCTAATCTCTCTCTGTTGTGTGTGTATACGTGAGTTTCCAGGATGAGGGTTTTTGGTAATAAATTTGGGGCGGACCTGCAGCTTTCAGGAAACAGAGTACTCCCCTGACTCACCCTATGGGAGCAAGCCAGCTCTACAGAACTGGAGAAGCTGCGCTCAGACAGCAGTGTGGGGTATTGTCAAGGAAGCCTCCAGTTGCAGCTGCCTGCTGCTGTGTGAATAGTTTCACAGCTCACCGAAGAGATGACTGAATTTAATTCGAGATGAATGAGCGCCTCCCCGATATAGATGACATTTTCATTGCAAACTAACAAGGGGAGAAATCCAATTACATCACAAAGGGGCTCCCTAATAGGCCATGCAACTTGAAGAGTGTGTGTGGGGAGCGAGAAGAGGTGGGGAAGCATTCTCCAAACCCAAGTCTAGGGAGGCGGGGGATCTGCAGTGTCCACATATCACAGATAGGAACAATGTGGGCAGCGTTCCGGCAGAGAGAAGAACAGGCCATAGTAAGGGACCGCCGGCTGCAGCAACACTGGATTAAGGCCAGACAGATGCCAGGGGTCACGCTTTAAAAAAAAAAAAGTCCCTATGAAAAATTCTCTTGCTATTGGGAACAAAATACTGGCCTCTGATACTGAGATTTCTAGGCCACTGTAGACTAATAACCAACATGACCATCCTGTCCCAAAATCAAGAATCTCAGCACTTTTTCACATAAACTTTCTGCTCATCATCGCTTGATTCCAAAAATATATTCTTTTTCTCTTGAAGGGGGAGGATCACTGTCTCACTGACTCTGATAAAAGTTATTCATTAAGATCATGGCAATATCTGTTTCCAGTGTAGATCTTGACAATTTATGTTTCCAGCATGGATCATATCTGGGCACTTGGGTGCTGCACAATAATTCAATAAATATATAGAAGTGTCATAAAATTACTCTCATAAAACCAGATGTGACACACAGGAAAAAGGCAGAGAGGGCTGGATATAGATAAAAGGCTCACAAGAGTCTTAATGGGGGGAAAAGTCACAGTTTTAAGATGGTATGTAAAAGTGAATTGCACTCCCTGGGCCCACCTGCTAATGTGAGAGGAAACAGTGAGGGCCCTGAAAGGTAGGTGGCGTCAGTTCCCCTCACGACCAGGCTCAAAGAGGTCACAGATATAGGCTTACACCAGTAAGGGCTTTAAACAGCATCAAGGCCAATTTAAAATCAATCTGATTCTGCCACTTACGGGCAGCCAGTGTAATGAATGCAGGATGGGTGTAATATGATCACGTTTGCTCAGACCAGAGAACAAACACATTGTTGCATTTTGAACAGGCTGCAAGCAACCAAGAAGCCCTGATAAAAGTGAATTTCCAAAATGTGTTGCTGTTGCAAGGTTGTTACACGATAAATAATAACACAGCCTGAGCAAATTGAGCAACTGAAAGAAACACCTTCCTGAATGAGAATTGTACAGTAAACAAAGCATCAAGAGAGCCATGGGCACTAGAATTCCAGTCAGAGGCACGTAACTTGAAATTAGTTTTCATTCAGACAAAACATCACGGCCTCAGTATCTATGCGGTGACTACATGGCCCAAACAATATGGAGAAGGCTGAAATGTACATGAATCCTATTTACTCCATCCTCTGCAAACTTCCTAGCCCACTTCCGAAAAAGGGCAACAGTTTGTGCTGCAAAGCCACGAAGATGGGTCTT